AACACCAAGGGAGGAGAATAAGCTTTCATGGGTGAATACCCATGAAAGCTTATTCTCCTCCCTTGGTGTTTACACCTTAACTGCTAGCAGAGGACCTCACCCTCCCTGACTGAATTAACCTCGTTATCTCCAGACTGATTCTTGCCTGCATATTTATACCTGCCCCTGGAAATTTCCATTACATGCATCTGACGAAGTGGGTATTCACCCACGAAAGCTTATGCTCCAATACATCTGTTAGTCTTAAAGGTGCCACAGGACTCTCTGTTGCTTTTTACAGACCCAGACTAACATGGCTACCCCTCTGATACTTGACATCCTGTTTGAAGATGTTAGAAAACCCTCCACTCTTGATTTAAAACTTGCCCTGTGGTGGAGAATCCCGCACGACCCTTGGACCTTGTTAGACCTTTGTCTGCTCACCTGACCAGCCTGTGAGCACGTGCAGGTACTGACAGACTGCGATCAAGTCACCCCTTAGATTTCTCTTTGCTGAGCTAAATAGACCGAGCTCCTGGAGTCTCTCACCATAAGGCAGGTCACCCAACCCTGTCGGTGTTCTTGTGTCTCTTCTCTGCACCCTCTCCGAGACCAAGGTGCTGCTACAGCAAGAGGCGTGGGGCTGGACAGATCCAGTGGGGCCGGAGAAAAACACCCGGGCACCTATCCCTGTGCAACCCCCAGGTTCTTATCCTGCTCTCCTCCCAGGAGCATCTAAGCACCTTCCAGTCCAACTCCCACCTGTCACACATGGCTCATTCCCCCCACCCCCCGGGGTGGGCAGTGGAGGGTTTTGTTTTGGTAGGATCTTGGTTTAAATGTACACTGGGTTTATAGCCAATGGGCCCCCGGGTCTGAGCCTGCAGGGAGCTGAGGATTCTGGGCGAGAAGAGCCAATGGTCTGATGGAGGACTCTGCGCTGGATGGGTCCCTGGGAGCAGGGGTTATACAGGGCGGAGAGGATCCGACACTTGCTAATCACCCCGCCTCATGCTTTTCTCCCAGAGATCTCCAAGCGTTTTACAAAGGAGGTCAGGCGCATTAGCCCCATTTCACATACAGGGAAACTGAGGCACGGAGTGGCGACGTGAGTTGCTCAGCAGAGCCAGGACTAGCACTCAGGTCTCCCAAGGCCCATTCTGGTGCTTTATCCGTGAGCCCCTAGTGCCTTCCAGAGCAGGGAATAGACCCCAGAGTCCTGGTGCCCAGTCTCCTCCTTTAATGATTGGTCTGTGATCTGGTGCAGTAGGGCCTCAGATTCTTGCCCCTAGCAGCAACCCAGAATAACAACACTTAACAACATGTCCCTTCAGCACAAAGGACTTCAGAGATTTGCATCTAAAATGGGGGGTGGGGCGGGCATAGTTATTGCTGGGCGAGGCTGCCCCAGACTCAACCTGCAGAGGGATTCTTAAACCCTGGGGCTGAAGCAGCTTCCTAGATCTCATCCCAAGAGGAATCCAGCCAGTGATTTCTCCAGGGCATGGGATTCTGAACATGGAGGACTCTGGGGCAGGACTTTTATCTGTCACTAATGTTTGCACATCTCAGGCATCACCAGGTCAGGGGTGTTGTCCCCATTTTCGCAGGGAAGTAAACTCAGTCACAGGGTAAGCGAGGTATATGCCCAAGTGTTACCAGTCGTGCCGGAGCTACAAACAGAGTCTGTCCGCGGCAGCCGAATCCAGGCCAGGATTTAGGATGGCCCCATCTCATGGCACTAAGCAGTGGGAACAAGATACAGCTATGTCCTGCCTTCCATCCCTACCTGCTCGAGCCCACTCCCCTCCCAGAAGGGGGACCAGAACCCAGGAGGCCTGGCTCCTAGCCCCACCTGCTCTACCCATTATACCCCACTCCCCTCCCGGAGCCAGGGCTAGAACCCAGGAGTCCTGGCTCCAATCTTCTGCTGTACCGACTAGAAAACAGCCCAATAAAACTTTGCCAGTTTTCCCAAGAGATTCCCCAGCCCCAAGTCCCTGTCCCCACATGTAGTTCCATTGCCTAATACTCTGGGCAGCGCTCCCTAGGGACACTATCCTTTGAGTGCAGCCAGGATCTCACTGACCTTGGCGCCGCTGTCAGGTGAGCTTTGCTTTCATGCAGTGTCATCAGAGCTGTGTGTAAACACGCAGTGCTCTAACTTGGCCGGGCTCCAGGACAGGGCCTGTGCCCTTCAGACACCCACACCCTGCTCGCCAGCTTGGCATGACTAATCTCTCCGGAACAGGCCCTGATCCCCACATCTTAAAGCATGTGTGTTTGGGGGCAGGGGGCTGGCTCTGAGAGGCACACCCTAAGGTCTGTCTTACAAAAGCTCTTGCTCCCAGATGATGATAGACTCCCACTTTTTTCAGATCACTTGAAGCTCTGCTTGAGCCCCTCTGAATTCGCTCCTGCATCTGAGAGCCACCAGGCAGCCTTTGGGCACTTTAGATCTGATGAACACAAAGTTGAGGATCTTCCCAGGAAAGGTCACTGCCTTGCTGTTTCTCTATCCAGTGCTTATATATCCATCACCATAATACCTGGCTGCTTTACACTTAGTAGCAGATTTTATCCTCACATACCCATGAGGTATGAGCCCCCTTTACAGGTGGGGAAACTGAGGCACAGGATAGACTCTATGACTTGCCCCAGGTCACCCAGGACAAATGTGGATGATGCATTATCCCAGGTCTCCAGGCTGGTGCCCAACCCACTGGACCATCCTTCCTAGGGCTTTCTCTGCCTCTCAAAAGAGCATTCAGTGCCGTGGATTTCAATGGTGTGAGACTGAACAGCCAGAATGTTTCTTTGCCACCTCTCATCTGAGGATCTCAAAGCACTTCCCAAGCATTAGTGAATTACGCCTCACAAGCCATCTCCTACCCCACAATGTGGGTTGGGGTTGTTATCCCTGTTTTCCAGGTGGGGAAACTGAGGCACGGATAGCTGACGAGACACAGCCAATCAGTTCTGGATGTTGCTCCCTGAGTCTGACCAGTGAACCACACTCCTGTACAAAGCCCAGAATCGAACAGAGGAGTCTAGTACCCCCCAGTCTACTTCTCCAAATACCAGACCACGCTCCTCCTAGAGCCAGGAAGAAAACCCAGCAGTCCTGATGCCCAATCCCCCTCCCTAACCACTACGCCACACTTCCCTCCTGCAGCTGGGGCTAGGCCTGAGGAGTCCAGATTCCCAGCCCCCCCTGCTCCAACCCACTAGACCCCACTCGCCTCCTAGAGCAGGGGAGAGAACCCAGGAGTCCGGAGTCCCAGCCCCCCTGCTCCAACCCACTAGACCCCACTCGCCTCCTAGAGCAGGGGAGAGAACCCAGGAGTCCGGAGTCCCCTCCCCCTCTCCAGGTGTAGCGGGAGAGGCCGGCGGGGCCAGGTACGAACCTGCTCCGCCCCCCATGCCCGGAGGCGGGTGTGGCCCTTGTAAGCGGGGCCAGCGGCTACTTCCCGCAAGCGCGGTCCGGGGGTGACGGACAGCGGGGCCAGCCAGTGCGGGCCGCCCTGGGCCGGCGCCAGCCAATGGGGGCCGGGCGGGCCGGGGACACCAGCGCTTCCAGGAAGCCGGCGGGGCACAGCTGGGGAGCTCGGGAGCGGAGCCGCCTGGTGCCAAGGTGACGGCGGGGGGGCCCTGTCCGTGTATCCCCGCACACCCGTCTGTCCCCCCTCCCCCCTCGTGTATCCCCGCACACCCGTCTGTCCCCCCGTAC